GATATAATGTTCTCTATTGGCCGTGAGATTTATTTCTATACGGTTTTCTATGTGTTACAGAATCAAGTTAATTCAGTTTCACTTTTACTTTTTTGGGTAGTTTTATGGAGTACGTTATTTTCCATTTATTTTGTCATTGAAAGTTATATTGTGAGGGAAGAAGCTGAAGAATCAGAAGTAGTGGCATTAAGACATAACATTACACCTACAATCGGCTACGCTAGTATTAATAATGTTAGCAACAATTCAGTTGCTAGTGGTTGGGCCGTGTACGAAATTGTTAACAACTGGTCTGGGCATGTAAGAAGACACATTCAGACATGGTAAATTATTTTATTAAATTTCTTACTCTGTTGTTATAACGTAACACTATACAGAGTCTATACATACTGCCAGACATCTTGTTATGTGAGCTACGTGTGACTAAAAAACGAATCAATTTAAGGTGGGAATAGTAAGGGGTACAGCCCCTCAGACAAATCATTGTACGTGCAGAAATTGCGGTGTTTGATTTTTATACAAATTATTTTGCCTTGGCGTGTCAACTTTTTGAAATATTGTAGTAACGTTGAGAGCTCTCTCCGTGATCGTACTTGAAAAGTTCTTATTCAAACAATGTCGTTGCTTCCGGGGGCTAATAGTCCAGCAATCACAATTGACGGCTTGATCCGATACCCCTTAGTAAAACTTGAATGGATTCCTTTGCTCGCCAAATTATCGATATAGAGCCAACGCTAATTGACGACTATAGTAAGATACTGGTATTTCCTTGGAAACAGCGAAGAACGTAGGCCAACACTTGTGAGTGAGTTCGTTCAGAAGATACAAATGTTCCACAAATGTATTCAGAAATCAGACATACTCTTTTGGTATTATCATGTATTTAATTGACAACCTTTTCAATGCAAGTTTAGCATGTGATATTATGGCTGGACTGCGACAAACAATGCCTGATTCAGCACCAGAAGAATACAAGAAACTTGCTGAGCAATGTTGTGACACTGATCCTGATACACGTCCAAGTGCACTGAGACTTTGGTGTAAGATTAACAGCCTCTGTCACAAGGTGCACAGTGATGAGTCTGATGATAATGCATGGAATACCATTTATCATAATAATGTAGACTTCTGTCATATCTTGAGCAAGAGAGTAAATACTCTATTGAGTACTTAGCTACAGTACTAGAGATTTTGCCTAAACTGAGAATAGTGATGACATGAATTCAGCTGCAGGTATGAAGGTTATTATTATGTGTTCTTATCTTAATATTAAATTAAGTTAATTGATATTAACATAGTCAATTGTCTTACTCAAGGGTTTGAACCAATGGTTATTCACAATTTATATGCTAAAAATGGCTTACTATACACTTACTATAGCAATGGTAGTAGTGTTTCTCTGTCATATTAGTAAGATTGCATTTTTGAAACTTTTTGCAATTTCGTCAGTTGAACCAATGATTGCAAGAACCGGGTCACGTTCTATTCCGTAATATGTACTACATTGTATTTCAAGTTATCAGGTTGTGAGGTTCATATGTAATATCAGTTTTATGAGGAATTTATCATATTGTTACGGTCGGCGTCCAATTTTAAAGTGGGAGGGCAAATAAATGGGGGAATTTTCCAAATCTAGCTCGTATCGCTGCCCTTATTCCAATGATAAGGCTGAACTAGATTCGTGAGTGACAATAATTATGTTTTGTGCGTGCTTCGTTTTTACTCGTATCTAAATAAGGGTGCCTACGATAAATAATAACAACAATTATAATATTGCAGAATGAAAGGGAAAATTTTAATACTATATTAAACAGGGCAAACTTTGATTTAGTGTTTCGACTAATCGGAAATAGAAGACATCACTTATTTCTCATTAAAGGACCAAATGATTACAGTTTTTGAATTTCTAATTTTACAGTTACGAAATTAAGACCTACTGCGTTGACAACTTTCTTCCGCGATGACTCAAGCGGGAATTTAATCCTAACAGCCCGAATCAAAGTGCCCAGGTCAAGATAGGAGTGTCAATAATTAGTATTGTGAACGATAGAGATGAATAAATAATAATTTAAAGGGTCATGATCAAGATCGATCGTTTATTATTATGTAGTATCGAATATTAGAATTTATAACAACATTAATAATAAAGTAAATCATACATTTATATACTAATACTAACATTTTGTCACAGAAAGCAGAATATGGAAATGATATCTCCAAATGCATTCGTTAATATGCTATACTGTAACATTATACATTAACTGTTATTAATGTACAAACGTACTAAATAATAGCTTTGACAAAAAGTAACAAATTTTTAAATTGGTGTAAAAGTTAAAACACAAGACGGCTGGCTGTTTATGGTAAAAACTTATGACCAATCAATATTAATTTAATTATTCTTTTTCTAAACCCATGTAAAAAAAGTTCTATACAGGTTTGTCTCGGTTTTCAAAGTTAATTGTGATAATTTAGTTGAAGGAAGAACACTGATAAATCATAAAGTTTTTACAAAAGCAACAGAATTAGAGAATGTAGGGCCAGCAATGCGACTTGAGTAGCTATAATGTGGTGAAATTCTATTTGTAAAATTTGGCCAATTTCTCTGCGCCATGATGTGAAAGTATCATGGTGACTAATTTTGATAAACAAATAACAGATTAAAAACTGATCTACAAAGAATTCTGCAATAAGCTTCTTAGAGATAAACGTAGCGCCTCTGTGGTATTTTAAGAACAAAGTGAAAACAAGATAAATTCTTTGATTACAATAACCAGAATTTAAGATTTGTTTTATTTGCGGTATTATTATTATGCATCTCTAATTTTGTTTGTTACGTAACTTTCTTTGCTTTGGAAAATAAAGTTCATGAAACTCGCTATGCCATGTACGTCCTAGTGGGTATGTTGAATAGGATGTGGTATATTAATATCCGCTGTTTATTGATCGTCATGAAACAATATATTAATAAATTTGCTTGGCGAAACCTATTTTTACCAATGCTTTTATTGTCGTACAACATGTTCTTAAATCATCGGGCGCTAAATTGTATTGTCATGTCGATATTTTTATCCAATCGCAAATGCAAAGGATAGACGGTGACTTTATATTTATCATTCACCAGTCCACTTTCAGAAGCAAAATGGTCAAACTTTTCGTGGACTTGTTCATCTTTAAAATTTGAACAAAAAGTTTCGGGGTCCAGCTCCGAATTCAATTCCTCCCGTGCCAATCAGCCCTTTTTGATAAAGGTTTTTACGTGTTTCCAATTAATCGACAAGCCCGATTCCGTTCTATATACAATAGAGGGTTTGCTTTTTATAAAAGACACGCAAGTGTTAACCTAATAATAAATCAACTCATTCAGTTATGGTCGTCAAAAAAGGGACAGGTTGTAGAGCTTTGGGAATGGACTTTTGCTTTCGAAAACAATTGATACAATATTGCCTTAAACGTGCTTTCGGACCAGGATTATCCGGATATTAATAATTTAACTGTTAGTGTTAGTGCCGGAAATCATAGATTATCGCAGACGTGCTTTCTCCTCCAATGATTAAATCCCGTGCTGATTTTATAAAGATTAGATCTTTTGAAACCAACCGTTGCCGACACAAATGTTGCTTTGTGACTCGCTTTGATCAAGGAGTGGGAGTACTCCAAATAGTATCTTTATCAATGATCGAACTAGTCAGCGAACGTGTTTCTAATCTCGTAAACGAACAGCCCATTTCTGAACGAATGGCCAAGCACTTCATAAATGTTAGGACCACTTAATGCCAAGCGCCCCACATACTTGTACGCCATGGTACACGCGGGGAATAAACTGAATTCTGTCAATTAAATTGTTCCACTCAAATGACGAACGGCTACATTACCAATGGCGATCTATCAAACATGAAAATTTCTTTTTTTAACGCTAAACCATTAAAGACAACTTCTACATAGAACTCCAACATCGCATACGTCTTTTTTATAAAAAGGGGCAAAACCTTCAAGGACCCGTCCCTTTGCCACCCACGTATTCGTTATAGCGACACTCACACACATACACAGAGTGCTGTTCACAGAATCAACCCACCATCTTTCCAACTTCCAAATGTCTCTCGCGCCTTCGACTCCAGATTCTTCCCGTCCGAGCTCGGTTCTCGTACAAGAGCCACCACTTCTCGACCAGTCTCATCTCCGACCCGGCCACAAAGCTTCTCTTCTCTCACACGCACAGACTCTTGAACTATATCGACAGAATGCAAAGAAAACAAACGACCCAGCAATACAATTCGAATTCGCCGCCTTCATGGTGGAAGCATCAAATACTATGAATGATGAGAATCCAAAAAAGAAAGACGAGTTGATCAAGGAAGGTTTGGCTTTACTGAAAAAATTAAGCGACAGAGGACACGCACAGTCACAGTTTTATTTGGGCGATTGCTATGCTAACGGTATTGGCACATCAAAGGGAAAGCCTGATTTTGAAAAGGCATTTCCATTATTTGTACATGCAAGTAAACATGGGCATCCTGATGCTGCATATAGAGCAGCAATGTGTTATGAAAATGGTATGGGATGCAAAAGGGATCCTTCCAAGGCATTGCAGTTCTATAGGTATGTCGACGATTAACGGAATATAGCAATATAGCGAACATGGCGAATATATTGGAGGCGGAGGGATTCTAATGTAAAGAGACCCAAATTTAAGATGAAGTGATCATCCGCGATGAAACGACAAATCTCACGTTAACAACGTGGTATCATTTAAATCAAGCACCACTTTAAACTTCTCCATCCTCCCACCTCTCGGTTTAGGCATTTTAACGCTCATATACTTTGCTCTTTCCATCAATAAAACAGAAAAGCTGCTTCATCCCAACACCCAGGTGCCATGTACCGTTTAGGTATGGCCGAACTGAACGGTGGACTATCCCTTTCCAAAAACCCTCGCGACGGAGTAAAATGGTTAAAACGTTCCGCCGAAGCTGCAACCGAAGACTTTCCCCACGCCCTACACGAACTTGCTGAACTGCACATAAACGGCGTCGAAAACGTCGTATTTGTCGACATCGAATATGCGGTACAACTCCTAGTTCGAGCTGCTGACTTGAACTATGCTCCATCTGCATTCAAATTAGCCGAATGCTACGAGTATGGCAAGTTGATATGTCCTCGTGATGCAGCGTTGAGTCTCCATTATTATACTATTGCGGCACAACAAAATCATCCAGAGGCTTGCTTTGCCCTGACATCATGGTATTTGGTTGGATTGCCTGGGGTATTACCACAGAGCGATAGCGAAGCATTTCTATGGGCCAAGAAAGCAGCTGACCAGGGATTGGCAAAGGCCGAATATGCTGTCGGATATTTCACCGAGATGGGAATTGGAGTTAAAAAAGATCTTCTCGATGCTCATGCGTGGTATAGAAGGGCGGCCGCACATGGAGATGTGCGAGCCCAGCAAAGATTACAAGGCGCACCGACTACCCAAAAGAACAATAATAAAAAGAACGACTGTGTAATTTCTTAATGTAGACTAGTACAATCGAGGACTATCGTGAGAATAGGTTGGATGTGGTATTGAAGATACAATGCTCACTGGGAATGGTGTTGGTAGTTAGCATTAATCTGATTAATTGGGTTCCCTTGTTTGAGCTGTATGTTCTATGAGCATCTAAAATGTCTGCTTGACTGTATGATAACGTGGTAGTGCTCCCCTTCCTGTATATTATTTTTTTTACCTTTTCCCCCTTCTCCTCACGTCCCCCATATTCATTGATAATGTCGTAATAATACCACTTGTATTTGTATGTATTTGTAGACTTTTAGTTGTCCCCCTCCCCGTTCTTCCATCTCGAATGATTCAACTTTCTATTCAATAGCTGGGTTTCTTCGTTTTTGGGTTTTCCATATATAGTATTCATATTCTAGATAACCAATAAGAAATAATAATCAAAAGTATTGCATAGACACACATCCAACGAAAATTGCAATCTATCTTTTTTTTTTTTGTATTTTACTGGTATGTCTTTGCAAAATATCTGGTTTTCATTCGATCCGAGAACTCAACAAGATTCTTGTAACGACGCGTAATCGTTGTTAGATTATTCACAAGTGTTGTCGGGTTTGATAGTATCGGGTGAACATAGGAAAAGATCACAGCGTCAAGGAATGATGGAGAACTATGGAGAATTGTGCAAGTAGTAAGTTACTATGCTGCAGAGGGAAAATTCATACGATAAAGCCCACACCAGTCTACCTTCTCCCGAAAAAGTAATTGTGATCCGCAAGTAAGGTTGAAATTGCTTTCAATGCATCCTCCGCTTCTTGATATATCTGATACAAGTTGATGCGTGACGCAGAGATCGATTAAGCCATGGCATGAATCTATACGCACACGTCCTTTCCATTGTGTTACTCACCTCTTCTCTATCCAATACTGGCTTTCTCGTTAAAAGTTCTTTAACGACGGCGCTTTTCATCTGATACAATATTATCCAATTTAATGGCTTTGGGTATTTTGCACCATACAATTTACTCGTTACTTCTTCAAAATTCAGTGCTTCACACCAATAGTAGTACAGCTAGCAATACAAAGAATATGCAAGTACGTAAATGGTTCATGAAACAACGAAAATGCACAAAAAAGCAACAGGATGCATATGAAAGCGTATTACCAATGCATTACGCAGTTTCGTATCAGCCAAGGCGACAAACGCCTTTGAATTACTAATGTCATTATCGGTAGTTAAAGTTGGTATATTCAAGTCCGGCTGATGTTCTGGCTACGGGTTAACATGATAAACGTAAAGAAAACGAACCGGGTTATGAATAATGCTTTGAGTGAGTTAGCCGACGTAAAAACAAATAAATTGAACATTAATTTTCACATACACTTTGTTTCAGGAACTCTTCGATATGCTCACCGATTAGGGCATCAGTGTTTGGTGTAAGAAGAAAAGGAAGTTTGCCTAATGGATCGTAATAGCAAACCACAAATCGTTTCGTATTAATTAGTCGATTTTGCCTACCAGCTCAGGCCCACACAAAAAACAGTATTACCTGAAGGTGACATTAATGGTTCATTGCAATTTTTAACGTCAAATCGAGCATCGATTATTAGCAACCAGACCTACGCTTCCAGGGGGTTAAAAAAATGCATGTTTTATTACATAGTTTTCACCAATTCATTACAAAAAAAAACTCCCGCAGGCATAATCAATAAAACGAGCATTACCTGCCATCTCAAACAAGCAAAGTCGAAACTAATCGGCTGGTTTCCCAATTGCCCTGTTTTGTTGCCCCAAACGTACAACGTTGGGATCTCATGATGAGGACTTCGATGTATAGGACGATGTGATTTCAAAGGAAATTTAGCAAGAAAAGCACGAAATGCCACATTTAGTGGATGGTCATGAAGCTTTGCGGCTAGAAAGGATGTTGCTGATTCTGTGGGCATTTTTGACACAAGGTTGGTTATGTGTGTAAAAAAATGGATTGGAGAAAAACAAAAAATTTGATGATCTACAATCATGTGATTATCGTATATAAAATGTTGTATTAGTATATCGGTTTCCTATAAACACGTCATAGTATGTTTGCCGCTCGGCTGAGCATCGGAATCAAGAGATTTGATTCTATCCACCACTTGCAATTGTAAATGCCGTAAAGAATATGGCACTAGAAATAACGAATACTAAGCACAAAATCCGATAAATCATGAGAACAATCTCGTTGGTAGCGATAATAGATATTTTTGAAAGTCGTTCGAAATTGACACGTCTACAAATTAGACGACAGTTGGACAATTTGCAAACAAAATGAGTGGAAAGTTCAGAGATTTCAGAACTGCAACAAAAGACAACAGCTGCTGCAACAACAACGACCGCAACAACGACTGCTGCGGCAGCTATTTAGAGAATCAAGGATATCATCCTCACTCTTGTTTTCTAATCATCTTGCTTTTATTCCCACAATAATACAGACTTGCTAATCCTGGCACTAAATGGGTTGGCCAAAGTACGAACTGGTGCGGGATCGTGAATCTGAGAAAGAGCCTAGGTTGCATATTCGTCACATATCTCAGGGACATGACGCTTTGGGCAACTTGACGATGGTGGCTGATTGATTCACTCATAAAACCAACAAATATGATCGGTGTCTTTATGTATATTGCAGACACTCATGGCCTCATATAAGGATGGGCTACATGCAGATTCTCAGTTTTACCAAGCTATTGGTCATCTTGCATAGCAACAGTTTTTTGCCCATTTGAGATGTTAAAATCTTCCTCTCGAAAACGTATATTTTTACCAGTTTTTCCCTTGGAAACACTCACAGAATTCGTCAAAAATATGGCACTTTGCAGTCAATAGTCAATCTTTGACATGTGTTATCCCCTTATTATTACGAAGGTCCCTGGAGGAGACTGTTGTGGATATGGAAGGGCCCTTGAAATATTATGGGGACTTACAAAGGCTTAACCTGGACAATTGTGATGTACCCATTTTTTTAGGGGAAAATTGGGCAAAATTCCTAGTGGTGCTTAAATTCGAAAGCTTGACTTTTTTGTACATATTTTCTTCACACAATGCCAAAAATTCAACACTCATCATATTCTGCTGCTGAAAAGCTTAAATTAATGCAATGTATGGGTCATAAGACAATTTATTTGGACAAAAGGAGGAGGAAATTGAAGAAAATAAAAGGGAAATTGTAGATATACAGTAGATAGTGATTCAGCTGATAAATTAGAGAGGAAGAATTAGAATAAAAAATATAATAAAAAATTTTTTGCATGAATTTTTAAATTCGGGTTGTGCTTAAATTCGGAAGGATATGGTAGGTGATTTGATGTGCCCACTCCAGACTAAACTTGCAGACATGTATAATATGGCCTTGCCTGAAGATGATATTGCTAGGGCTATTGCACACACAGTATTGGTTCATCAACAATTGGCAAGTTAAAGTAAAAGATATATTCCAGGTACAACAGCGTTCCTTGATCAGGTCATTGAAAATGGACTTATTCAGTTTGAAAAAATTGATAACAATTATGGATACCTTCATGTACCATATTAATATTAGTAATGTAATATGAGTATGTTAAATAATAAATAAAAAAAGTATGGTAAACATCATAAATGAACTCAAACAAAGAAATAAAAATATATTAGAAGAAAACAAAGTATTAATATTAAAGATGCAACTAGTTCATAAAGAAGAAAAATTCAAACTAAGAATTATAATATAATTACAATGGCATTCATAATGTGATGGAAAATGAAAGTCCAGAAATCGCTGGCACTTTATATTTAATGGCCTCACAAAAACATTTTTGAGCTTGAGATGACTGAGTAAAGAAAATTGAGTCGGAGAAAGTTATTTTTGGTAATAAATTCACCTTTGAAAGAATTGTTAAGGTTTTACAGAGTGAATATTATTTAGTTGTAATGCTCTCAGTTATTTTTCTGAACAAAATAAAAAACTTGAAAAAAAAAATGTTGAGTTAGAGAAAAGAATAAAACAAAAAAAAATTCAACAGCTAGAAGCCAAACAAGAATTGAAAATGAGCAAAAGAGTTGAAAGATGAGTGAAAATGGAGCAAGAAAAAGCTGAAAAAGCCTTTGTATTGGAGGTAAATAGATTAGAAAGATGAGAACCCTATATTTACAGAGACTTAAGACTATCAAAGCCAAAAGAAGATTTATTTTGGGCTAAATGCCCCAGTTGCCCCACTCTATCAGGATGTAATTTTAAATCCATTTGGAAGAAGCATCTGAAAAATAAAATTACTAGAAAAATTTGTGGCATGACAGAACTATGTGGAATATAAGCAACTTCAAGAATTACCAGGTTTACCAAAAAAAAACAACTAATAAGTTTAAACTGTTGGGTAGTAAGATAAAAAGTAAAGTGAACCAAACTAATACTAAGGAAATAGTTAAGGAAAAGTTAATGCTTATATCTTACAAAAGTTAGTAGCATAAAATCAGAATAACAGATCAGTCAGTTGGGAAGAGGAGACAGTTGGCACTGTAATTTGAAAGTAATAAAATCTCAATTACCACTCATGAACTGGTAGCCTATAATACCAAAACTAGTAATAATACTGTATTGAATATAATATTAATATGTAAAGAGATTTTGATAATAATAATAATGGCACCTTTACCTTGCCATATTGTAATAATTGTGGTCAAGCTGAGATAATGGGATATGTTGGTAGATAAAACAACAAAACAAGGATTAAAGCAGCAATTAGATGAAGAAACTAGTTCTCATTTGGAAGTTTTAGATGTTTCAAAAGATTGAAATGATAAGCAAATCCTCGAAAGTGAGATTGAATTTTTAAGAAAACAGCAAACTCAACACATTGCTCATATTGAAATTAAAGAAAACAAAAGGATAACCTTAATTAACAGTAAAGAAGTAAATTTTTAAATACTTCCAATGGTGTAATTATTGGGTTATAGTAATAGTAAATTTAATGTAAATTAATTTATATTAATATTTTCTAATATAGAGTAGTGATAACCTGTATTAATTCCATTATGGTTTATATTCATCTATTCGGGTATGATAAAGTGAACATTAAAATTAACAAGCCGTAATAATAAGTTATGAATGAGTGCCATATTACTTTTCACATCACACTGGTCAATTTTACAGCCACATCATAGCCTCTCATTCATGTCACATAATAGAATGTTCACTTGTCTGATTTTGTTGCAGTATGTCCCATATGATTCTGACATAATAGCAATGGAATCAGATCAGTAACTGTAGAAAGTATAAGAACTACAGATGAGATTGAGCTTGCTAGCTCTTTGTGAAAATTCCCAGGTTCTTGACTGTATTCTAAATAGAAACGATACATTATATCATGTCATTATTATTTATTTATTTATTTTATTTTATTTATGAACATAAATATTCATAGTTAAATAATTATCCTAATTATCCTGTGATGTTTACTTTAGTGCAACCAGCATCATAATTATAATAAACAGTAGACCAAGTAAGTGACATTCCCCCTTTTTTTAATTATCCCAAATAGACATCATTTTTCGGAGTTTGAAATTCCGTATCAGCTTGTCAAAAAATTCATGTTGTTTGCTAGTCTATCCATTGGATGACTCTTTATGCACCACAAGGACTAGATTGGAATATTCCACATTTAGAGCAAAATCAATATCTTTAAGATCATGCAACAGATATCTCCTTGATATCAGTGTTTGCGAGTAAGGAATCGTTTCAAGTTTATCTATTGAATCATACGAATACCCTCAATTCTTCCAAGAATAACGTCATGTTTGTGTAAAATAAAATTGGTTTTGATTCGAACTCGGGGAAGAGCATTTTCAAACGTTACATCGCACACGGACTATGCCGCGATTGTTTATTTGCACAAAATTTGATTCGTTCAAAAACGCATCACCGCTTTTGGGGATTACGGTATTTGGTCTTGTGAATAGTGTAGGTAATAGTAAGAGATCAATTTTTACCGGCAAAGAATTCAGAAAGAGTGTGTGGGAGCAGTTACTAGGAACGCGGAAAAATAAAAGCCAGAGTGGGAAAGGATATGTGATACATATTTTTAACTTTTTGTAATTCATACGTAATAATGCATATTGAGGCATCCGATAAATGTTTCTTTGTGTATATTGGTCTTTACGTAAAATAATTTTTTACATTATTTGTCAAGTCAGGTTAGTATACAAGCATATTTTATAATTCATGCTTCTCTTTCAGTAATTTGCATAAATCAATGTTGTTATATGCGGTCGCTTGGGAGTTCGTCGTGTCCAGTTATTGACTCGAAAACATTTGCTTAAAACGCTGCTCTGCTAATGTGTTTCGAAGACGATTGACCTATCGTTGGATAGGCTATTAAATATTAAACTTGTTATCATTTAAGATGCTACTGTATCTCGAGTCACTCTTTCAGAATAGTTTAATTTTTATACCGTCTGAATTATTTTAGAAAATGACTTTTCCACGATAGTTTTGTCGCTAGCAACTTACGAACAAGGAGAGAAACAACAGCGAATATATTTTCTTAATCGACCTAGTGACAATTAATATGAAGGAGTTAATAGGAATTTTCCTGTACTTAACTAATGTTGTTACACGTAGACAATAAACTATATATTTTTCGTTACTGGTCGTAGTCTTTTATTTCCATGAGTGTTTACATTAATAATATAGCACAAGACTGTAACAAACTGCAACAAACTTTAGCGATAGAATTTTTACGTTCCTTATGTGACGGTCGCGTCTTCTAATTTGAGTACGAATTCTGTACGAGGATGACTCGATTACATTATACGCTCGATTTTACGCTTGTACGAAAAAAACCCCGAGGAAGGAATTGAGTGTTTTTCATAGATTCATATCGATACTTAATAGACTTATTTTTTGTTAACGAACGCATTTTGTAATGAGTGACGTAATTGC